ATCCGTATATTGAAATCCTAATTCCTGAGGTGATGGTGTTAGGATACGGGGCCTTTGGGAGGAATTAGATCAAAGAGACCCCAGAGAAATCCCTGTCTTTTACACCACATGAGGACACAGTGAGAGGATGCCATCTATGAAGTGGGATGCAGGCCCTCACGATGCACTGTTGGCATTGATCTTGGACTTCCTTGCCTCCAGAACTGAGAAATAAATGCTTCCTGCGTAAGCCACCCAGTCCCTGGTGTTTTTGTTAGCTGTTCTGGTGCTTTCTAGATCACATTTTATTTTTTTATCCTGTCATTTACTCATTAAGATAATGAGTAAATAAAAATCTATCAATAGATATTGAAATCTTTCAATAAAAATCTATCAATGTCCACAATGCCTTAATAAGGATAGCAACATTAATTGAGCACCTACTATCTGCCTAGCACTGTTACTGCTAGGCAAAGGTGGACCCAGCCTCTGAAATGAAGGAGACCTGATAACTAGAATATGAAGGACTCCAATAGATGTTAAGGTCTCCCAAGAAAATAGGGAATGGCATGTCTCGTCCCTGGGCATATGCACTGAATTTTGAATCCATTACACTTCTCACACATGGCAATGTGGATTCTGTTCCTGCAACCCACCCAAATTGTGCAGCTAAGATCATCAGTGAGCTCCATGTCTGCTAAAGCCAACAGATGCTCAGCTCTATTTAGCTTCCATGACCCCACAATCTCCTGCTTTTCTGTCTGCTACTTTGACCACATCCAAAAGTCATCCTTGATTCTTCTCTCATCTCTGGTTTTTTTTCCCCTGCCAAACATGTAATCTATCAACAAGTTCTATCAATTCTATTGTCAAAGAATTATACGTCCACCAGCTTCTCTTCTGTACCTCTGCTAACACGATAGCATATATCACCACTTATCTGTTACCTGGATTAGTGAAACAGTCTCTTCTCTTGTCTCTCTGCTTCCATACCAGCCTCTGACAACCAAGTCTCCACAAAGCAGTCAAAGTGATCTTTAAAAACAACTCACAAATCTAATTATGGCATTCCCTTTAGTAAAACCTGTCAATGGCTTCATGTTCTTGCAGGATAAAACTCTAAGATCATAATGTCTGATGTTTATTCCTCTCACTGACTCTTCTCAGCCACCCACACCTTTACTGCCTGTGTCCCAGCCTCACTGGCTTCCTTGACTCCTTGCTCATACTCCTTCCCACCCTGGGCCTTGGCACTATGCTCATTCTGCTACGAGAGCTCTTCTCCCAGCCTTGTGCACAGCTTCTCATCCTTTATGTTACGATCCAACTGGAACTTCTTTAATGAAGTGCTCCCTGAGTCCCCAGTTTAAACTCAAATTTCCTTTTTTATTATTATTATTCATTTGAGAGAGACAGAGACAGAGCACAATCAGGGGGACAGGCAAAGGGAGAGGGAGAAGCAGACTCCCCACTGAGCAGGGAGCCCCACATAGGACTCGATCCCAGGATCTGGAGATCATGACCTGAGCCAAAAGAGCCCAAAGCCACCTAGGCTTTCCTTTAATATTCTGTCTAAATCCCAGTGTTTTCTTTTCATGACTATTTGTTTAATATGAGCTGCCACCACTAGATTCGAAGACAGATCTAAGAGGTCCTGGCACATAACTGTTTTATACCCAAACTAACTATCTCCTTGCTTCACAGAGTCAAATTCAGCAAATGTTTGCTGGATGAATGACCCAAATAGTCTAAGGGTCTAAAAAAGGAAAAATTTAAAGAGTGATAATAGTTGACTTTAAGCCTATTCAACAAATGTGGTAACAAGTATTCTCCATATTCACAGAGAAAATAAGTTTACAATACATCATTCTCAATCCACCTTAGGTACAATGGTTGATTTGTACCTGAAAGTAGGGTTGATTTTGGAAAGTGCAGGTTCTTAGGAAGGTGTGTGACATTATTCTCTTGCGAATCACTGAAGTATAAAATGCCACCTTCCCTAGATGACTAATCTAAACTTCCATGCTTGCCTTGAAGCTGTATTCTAGAAACCCTGTCCACTTCTTCTTTCTCTACTCTCTACTGTTCTATCTCCTTGCTCTTATTCATAATAAAATTCTTAGAGTTATCTATTCTCACTGTCTTCCAGTTTTCTTCTCCCACTCTTTTCATTTTATTTGTACACAATCTCAACTTAAAATAGGAAGAACTTATTTTCCTTAAACCATTGTTAAGGAGCTGCCAATATGATGCTTCATTACACTGGAATACTTTAGGGCACATCACCTGCAAATAAGCACATTCCCATATGAAACCATAGCAAAAACATCAAAATAAGGAAATTCACACCTCCTACCTCACTGGAAATACCTAAGACATGACCTAAGTCACTAAAACTCTGAAGTGTGTACTACATTCCTGAATGAAAGGCTACCCAAAATGTCACTGCCATGATATACCTGCCACAGATGCAAATGAAGAAATTAGAGCCACCTACTACGGGAGTGAAATTAATAATGTTATAGTTATGCATTATAAAATGCACCTTCACCAGGGCCAAAGTTAAAATAATAATAAATAAACAAAAAATAAAATAATAATAAAATAAACACTAATCAGGTTCTTAGTGTTAATTAATTTTTAACGTGATTATCATCATTTAGAAACCTCCACATTATGGCTAATTCATAAATTAAAATTTTTTTCATAAATTAAAATTAAAAAGAAAAGGGCTTTCTGTTTAAAGTATTTTTCTAGTTGTTTAACAAAATGAACACTCAAAATATTTCATCTTTAAAATCTCTGCCAAAAAATAAAAATAAATTAAATTAAATCCCTGCTAAGGCTACAATAGGGTTTCAACTCAACTTAACTGAACAACACTGAGAATTAGGGCAAAAGGGCTTGTTAAATGAACTAAGACAGAGGCTGAAATACAAACATCTTTGTGAAGTGTTCATATTCTATCAGCCAAACTAAACCGTAGCAAATCATCACAAGTCTAAAAAATGTAGAGAAAACTGTGAGCTGCTCATTTGATATCGATTTGAACTTCTGTTCCTTTAATGACCTGATCTAAAATGACCTGGCAGGCTCAGCATCACCGCCGGCTCAGTGTCAGCAAAGGGACCCACTCTGTCCATCACTGACACGATGCAAACTCTCAGCTGCCATTCACCAGCAGGGGGCACTGCACTGGGGTCTTTCTGTAGGCAAAACTGCTCAAAAGCTGAAGACTAAAAACCATGTTTTTCAGGAGGCTGATAAATATGTGTTGCCATCCCAGACAAATACATTGCCACACAATCGATTGGGCATCTCCACAAGCGTTTCAGTAGCAATATCCACATAGGGTGTCCTGAGGCCCAGAGTCTTAGAATGACAAATAAAATGGCATTGTGGGCAATTCTTAAATACCAAGTCTTTCCGGAATCCTTTCATTGAGCAGGAATATTATAAAAGGCTGTGTACCAAACTCCTTCTCATTAAGATTGCTACAGTTCATAGGTTATTGGGCCTAAATCATTTTCTAAGCAGGTTCAGCTATAAGCCAGGAAAGGGCCCTAATATGTAAGAAAATAGTCCCACTATCGGTATTTAACATAAATTCAACCAAATTAACCTGGGTTTTATGTCACATTTATTATTACTAAAATAGAATTATTAGGCTTAGGGAAACTGGTAAGTATTGAAATAGAAACATTACTATATGTTTTGTATTAGCAAAAGTGTTCTGCAAGAGTAATTTCTAAACCTTAAAATTTATAAACAGAAACTTTAAAAACTACCTCAAATGGCCTGTCGTGATCTACTGATACCTTTTCATAAATGTGAGGGCCTGCGCAGAAAACTAGTTTTAAGTGATAACTTCTGCAAAACACTCTGTGAAGAAATTAAACAGAATGAAATCTTTTCCCCAAACACAAACATATAATGGGAATAGCACTTTGTAATTTTTTTTATTTGGTACCTTCTCAGGAAAAAAAAAATGTGTTAACATGCTCTCCAATTGTGCATATATTTTATTTATAAATTATTCATAATATTGTACTGATATCACATATATATTATAAAAAATAAAAATAAAAATTGGTAAAATGTAGCATAAAAAGAATAAAATATAAGCTCTAAGATTTTTCTCCCATATCCCAAATGATCACCATTTCTTGGACTTTCCCTGGCATATATATTCCTTACTCTAATCTTGGGGGAAATGGCCCATAAGTTAGGTATTTTCTGATCTATGAAAGACAAAATAAGAATTTTTACCTCATTTAAAACTAAAAAAAAATAGAATGGCTAACCCATAAAGCAGCATTTCATCAATTATTTCCTATCTATTGAATCACTCATCAACACATTTTTCCCGATCTCAAAAAGCTTTTGACTTTACTCTCTGGTTAATTCGCTATTTTTCTTTCCCTTTACAGTGAAACGCCTCATTAAGACTTGTGTTGGACACACTCAAAGGTGACCTCCCCAATAATCCCACCATCTGGTATCACACTCTTGAACAGTCCCTCCCTGTGATGGTGAGCAGACATGTGATTTGCTTCTAATCAACATTATATGATAAAAGGTGATGGGATATCACTCCATGATTCCATTATATGATGTAAGACTCCATCTTGCTATCAAACTCACCTAACAGACTGTCTCTCCCTAGCTGACAGTGAAGGAATAAGCAGCCATGATGGGAGACCCATAGGGCTTTCTTGCCAAGAAGCTGAAGGCAGCCTCAAGGGCCTGAGGGGAGTCGACAGCCTGCAGGAAGCTGGAACCCTCAGTCCTACAACCACAAGGAAATGAGTTCTGCCAACAACCTGAGTGAACTCAGAAGCAGATTCTTCCCTGGATGAGCTTCCAGGTAAGAACACAGTCCAGCCAATTCCCTGATTGTAACCCTGTGAGACCCAGCTAATCTGTGCCCAGATTCTTATGAGAGAACAAGCGTGTTTTCTTTCAAGTCACTAAATTTGTGGTAGTTTGGTTCTCTGGGCTCAGACGCAGTTTGCAGCAACATGGCTAAATGCATCAAGAATGTTGGCATCATTGGTAAATATGGGACCCGTTACAGTGCCTCCCTCAGGAAAATGGTGAGGAAGATTGAAATAAGCCAGCACGCCAAGGATACTTGCTCCTTCTGGGGCAAAACTGAGATGAAAACATGGCATTGTGGTTCCGGCATGAAAACAGTAGCAGGTGGTGCCTGGGCCTGTGACACCACTACTGCCTTCACACTCAAGTCAGCCATCAGAAGGAGACTGAAGGAATTGAAAGACCAGTAGAAGCCCCACCATTTGAGACATTGCGGGCCTATAATAAATAGGTTAAATTATGCAACAAAAAGATAATAATAATGAAAAATAAATCTGTGGTAATGTGTTATACAGTTGTGTGCAGGGGTCCCTAAGACCACCTCCAGGTCCAATAATTTGCTAGAAGGACTCATGCAATTTAGCAAAGCCATTATAATCAAGGAACTCCCAACATTTGCCTGGCTGTATTTCAGAACAGCTATGAACCAGTGGCTCTTTGTCCCTCTCCTTCCCCCTTCTTTTAGCTTATTACAGCTAAAGGATACAGATTAAAATCGGCAGCAGAAAAAGATGCGTAAAGCAGAGTGCACGACACACCAGGCGTAGGCTTCCAGTTGTCCTCTCCCAGTGAAGTCCTGTGGACAGCACTTAATTCTCCAGCCATGGTATGTGACAGCTCATACAGAGTATTACCTAGGCTTGGTACCCAAGCTTTTTATAGGAAGTTCGTTCCATAGGCCCAGCTGACTCCCTGCATGACTGACATTCAATATCCAGCCTTCCCAGACAGCAGGCACATCCCGTGTAGCCCTCACCATAAACCATAGTGTTAGCATAAACTATCTGGTATGGCCTAAAGCTTTAGGTAAACACTCTTAACAGGTAGGCTACTCAAAGGGAGTAGAAGTTACTTCCCTGGAGCCAGGCAAGGACCAGACCTTTCTTTGGAACGTGCAAGGTTTAGACAACCTAGATCTGCTGAGTTAATCCTTTATTCCACAGCAGCGATAGATAACTAATAAAGGTTTTGTTATCTGGAATTAGGATGCTACAGTAACGAATAGCAAAAACACAGTGGTAGCGGGCAGAGGCTAAAAGAATTTTGACAAGTATCATAGAGAAAGCCCAAACTGCTTTCAACAGACTGCTGGGAGAAATTTGGACTTGGAGGGTACTGCCAGTCAAAGCTCAGAAGGAAATGAGGAACATGTTATTGGAAAAGGAAGGAAGGGGATCCTTGTTATATATGGCAGAGAGCTTAGTTACATGGTCTCCCACAGTTAAATGAAAAACTGAACTTGTAAATAATGAACTTGGTTATCCAGACCAGGAAATTTCCAAGCAAAGTACTAAAGGCCCTGCCTGGGTTTTTTTGTTTTGTTTTGTTTTGTTTTGTTTTGTTTCTTGCTGCTTATAGGAAAATGTGAGAGGAAAGAGATAAAAGAAAAATTGTTAAATAAAAAGGAACCAGAACTAGATGATTTTTTAAATTCTTAGCCTTCCCAAATAGCAAATACTACTAAATGGCCTCCAAGCACTGTGGGGAAAGCATGCCCTATAGAAACAGCTGGGGATGTGACTGTGCAACCTTTTCCTTAAATCTCAGAAAGAGCAAAAAAGTCAAGAGTATTCAATCACACAAAGGGCCCTTTCAGGAGATTAAGGGTGGGCCTCTCAGATCCTCTCAATCAAACCATAGACAGAGCCTGCAGGAGCTTAGGAAATTGTCTCCCAACCCTCTTGGCAGAAGCCCCAGGTAGAGAAGAGCTCATCTCAAAAAAGATCTGTGCATGTGCGGCTTTGTTATAGTGGAGCAAATCTAAGTAAAATCCATGCAAGGCCCAAAAGTTTGTTGAGAAAATTATTTCAGCAGAAACTAAGAGAACAGACCAAAAGGGACAGAGCACAAAACGAAAGGAAACTCTAGGACCCCCAAAATTCTGTTGGCAGGAGGCAGGCTGATAAAACTCAGGTGCAAGTACATGCGACCCTTCATGAAAGGGTTCAGATTCCAGAGATCAGAGCTCCAAAACATGAAGGAAAAAAATTCCTCTACTCACACTTCTGATACCAAATGTATGATGGTTTTCCACACTGAGGACCAATTCTCCAACTCTTTGGACACTAACTGGATGTTCTACAATTCAATTCAATTCTGATACTACCTTCCTGGAGTTAGTATCAGAGCCCAGTCCTACAAAACTGATCCACTTCAGATGCCAATTGCAAGTCCTGGGCCTGTGTTTTTCTTTTCTTTTCTTTTCTTTTCTTTTCTTTTCTTTTCTTTTCTTTTCTTTTCTTTTCTTTTCTTTCTTTCTTTCTTTCTTTCTTTCTTTCTTTCTTTCAGATATTATTTATTTATTCATGAGAGACGGAGAGAGAGAGAGAGAGAGAGAAGCAGGCTCCATGCAGCGAGCCCGACATGGGACTCGATCCCAGGAATCCGGGATCACACCCTGAGCCAAAGGCAGAGGCTCAACCACTGAGCCACCCAGGCGTCCCATGGGCCTTCCAACTGACTTAGCTGCAGATCAGGGGTTCCCACAAACCTCTCCTTAGGCTTGATAATTTGCTGTAACAGCTCACAGAACTCAGAGAAACACTTGACTTACATTTACTGGTTTATTATAATAAGGACAATATAAAGGATACAAATATAAAGAAAACAGCCAAAGAGGTACATCAGGTGAGATCTGCATGGTTCCCAAGGATAGGAACTTCAGTCCCCATAGACTTTGGACTATGCCACCTTCCTGACATGTGGATTCCCTCACCAACGTAGAAGTTTTCTGAACCCCACTGTTTAGGGTTTTTTTTTTTAAAGATTTTATTTATTTATTTATTCATGATAGTCACAGAGAGAGAGACAGAGAGGCAGAGACACAGGCAGAGGGAGAAGCAGGCTCCATGCACCGGGAGCCCGACATGGGATTCGATCCCGTGTCTCCAGGATCGCGCCCTGGGTCAAAGGCAGGCGCCAAACCACTGCGCCAGCCAGGGATCCCTGTTTAGGGTTTTTATAGAGGCTCCACTATGTACGTATGTATGTAACTGATGAAATCACTGGCCGTTGGCAATAAACTTAACCTCCAGCCCTCCCTCCCTTCCCAGAGGTCAGGAAATGTGACAAAAAGTTCCAACCTTCTAATTATGCCTTGAGATTTCTCAGGAACAACCCTCACTCTGAAGCTATCTAGAAAAGGACCCCAGCCCCCAGTCATCTTGTTAGCATCTCATGCCTTGAGTCAACAATCAGAAACCTAAAGCTCTCAGTTCTACATCCTCAAGAAAAGACACTTATCATTCCAGAGATTCTAAAGGCCTTAGAAGTTCATGTGTCACGAACCAAATATTAGAACGAAAGATATTCCTAGCACCCTTATCATTTAGGAAATAACAAGGTGTTAAGGGCTCTGTGCCAGAAACCAGGGGGCAGAGACAAAACACATATTTCTTATGACATCACAACCACAGATAATTATCCCCAGGCCTTGAATCCTAATCAAGGAACTCCCAATATTTGCCTGGCTGTATTTCAGAACAGCTATGAACCAGTGGCTCTTTGTCTCTTTCCTTCCCGCTTCTTTTTGAATGGGAATGCCTGTGGTTCTTATCCTATACCTATTCTGCTGTTGTTTGTTGGGAGGGGGAAGAGGGATGGACAGGCCTAAAAATTGTCTTATTAGTTTTACAGATTGACAGACTGAGGGAACAGCCAGGAGCATCTCTACCTGGACCCAATATAGATGACGATGGCATTCTTTGACTTCTAGTAGATACTACATTGGGATGAGTCTCTTATAGAGCTTAGGAAGGAGTGAATGTATTTTTGCACATGGAAGGGATTAGATTGAGATGGACAGATGCTAAGCTACCTTCCCAAATCCCCTCCCCTTGGTAGTAACACCTTTGTTTAATTCCCCCTCCTTGAGTAAGGGCAAGACCTCTGACTTGCTTTTAACCAACAGAATAGGACGAGGGTGACGGGACGTTACTCCCATTGTCATGTTACATTATATAAAACTCCATCTTGCTAGCAGGCACACTCTGGGAACTTTCTCCTTTGTTGGATGTGAGGAAACAAAAGGCCATATTAGAAAATTCTAAGTGGCAAGAAACTGTAGCTAGCCTCTATGAGCTGAGGATGCCTCAGGAAAAAACTAAAGCTCTCAGTTCTACATCCCCAAGAAGCTAGATGTTGCCAAACACCACAAATGGGAAGTGGATTTTTCCCCAGTGGAACCTCCAAATGACAACCACAGTCCTGGCCAACAGCGCAGCCTTGTGAGACCTGAAGCAGAGGGCTCAGCTAAGCCATGTCGGTACTCCTCGCCCAAAGAAACTTGAGATAATAAATGTGTGTTGTTTCAAGCCACTAAGTTTAGGGTAATATTGTTATGTAGGATTAGCAAACCAATACAATTTGTTTCTAATCACAATCTACGATTTATCCCTTGTTATTTTCTATTAAATTCCACTTTGCCTCAGAGAACACACGTCATTTGATTTTAATTCTTTTAACTTAATTAAGATTATTTTATGACACAAGGTATCATATTGGTCAATATCCCATATGTGCTTAGAAAGCATGTGTATTTTTTTTGTTGGTAGATGGAGTGTTCTATACACGTCAATTAGATTCAGGTGGTTGATGGTATTGATCAATTCTTCTACAACCTTGTAGAGTTTCTATTTGTTATATAAATTATTGAGAGAGAAATGTTGAAGTCTCCAACTATAACTGTGAATTTCTCCTTTCAGTTCAATAAGGTTTTTGCTTCATGTATTTCCAAGTTTTTTCCTTTTTTTTTTTTTAAGATTTCATTTATTTATTTGACAGAGACAGAGAGAGAGAACATGTATAAGCAGGGGGAGCGGGAGAGGGAGAGCAGGCTTCCCTCTAAGCAGGGAGCCCGATGCAGGGCTCGATCCCTGGACCCTGGGATCATGATCTGAGCTGAACAGAGACACTTAAGTGACTGAGCCACCCAGGCACCCTCATGTATTTCCAAGTTCTGTTATTAGGTGCATACACAGTTAGAATGGCTGTGTCTTCGTGGTGAATCATGTAATGTTCCTCATTATCCCTAGTAATTTACCTTCCTCTGAAGACAATTTGATATTAATATATATATATATATCACTCAGTCTTTTGATTAGTATTTGCATAGTCTATCTTTTTCTAGTATTTTATTTTTTAATTTACCTACACTGTTATATTTAGAGTGAGTTCTTGTAGAAAGCAGATA